TTAAACTGTCTTTTAATTTTCTAGTTGGTCTTCCACATACATCCATTATTGCAGGAATTAGTTCTACATTTATAAAGGGATATGATTGCATTACTATTTCTTTTTCTTTTATACAATGATATTCAACCTGTACAAGGCCCAAGGCTACAAGGCTACATTGGGGAAGATAACAGTTAACCCTAGACTTTAACCCTAGACTCGAACAGTTTAAGATTGCAGTGATCCAGGAAGCATCCTCTTGAGGAGTCGTTTCCACAAAGCAGCGGTTGGTGGGAAGAAGCTTCTGCAGTGGAACGTGTATAACTCCAGTGGAATACGAAGAAAATGCTGGTGTTTCAATACAATGTCCAGGGCATGGCAGGTCTTAGCGGTGAAGGTTAGAACTAAAGAATGTAGTTCTTCGGAACACTCCCCATGGAATTAGCGATAGGGCAGCGTGAGGCTTGCAACGTTTCGTCTGTGGGAAAGGGGTTGTATGGTGGAAAACTATTCATCAGCCACAAGGGCGTGGAGATGCTTTGGGAGTTTATCGAGACTGGAAATTGAAGACAGTGCACTACTTAAAAATATTTAAGGCATTATATTTCAATGAATATAGCTTTGTTTAAAAAGATCTACTGACTTACAATTATGGCATTGGTTGGCAAAAAGAACCTACAGATTTCTTAGAGCTTAATCAATTTAAAAAAAAAAACAATAAAAACTGTTTCATATTTTCTTTACTGGCTGTTTATTCCACCTTATTTAAAAAAAAAACTTCTTTACCGAAGGAATTTATATGGGTGAGTCGTTAGAACATTTGTCTTCCAGCAACAAGACCCGGTTTCGAAACACTTCATGGTTGATTTGTCATGAAGGCGACTTCATGATGTCATTGGTCTGGGAGGTGATCCCATTGTCAGGCCCTTTTGGTAAGGGCCTGGCAATTGTACTGCGAGTTGAAATTGAGTAGACAGAATTATTTTGGGTGTCTTCGATAGTTGTGCTAGCACTAAGTCACAAGTCATCGTGGCCGAGGGTTGGAGCAGACTGGACGGATTCAAACCGTTGATCACGCGTGATAACACGTTATCTTCCAGAAACTATAACTAAGGCCCGCTCGGAACATTTGCATTATTAACCACAGGTGAGCTCTGTGGGGAGTTGATCAAACACAACAGAGCCCGAACAGGGCCTGCTACAGGGATTGCATAGCCGACCTAGTAGACATATTCAGATGCGAGGGAGCAGCCATTATATATATATATATATATATATATATATATATATATATATATATATATATGTGTGTGTGTGTGTGTGTGTGTGTGTGTGTGTGATGATAAAAGAAATATTAAATAAACCCTCTCTAAACTCGACCATCTCTCTCACACTGCCCTCGCTACCCTTTCTGTTAAATTACATAAAGTTAATACTACCCGTCAAAAGTGTAAATTTTCATTTCATTTTTCGTTTCAACTTTTTGGAAGTGATGTCTGAGGATCCAACGTCCTTTAAAAGGTCTCTGATGAAATAAACTATTACAATGGAGCATTAAAATGGTCTGTTTTTCTTTAATATATATATATATATATATATATATATATATATATATATATATATATATATATGTATGAAGAAATATAGTCTTAAGATGTGCTATACTTATGGGATAAAGTGTTCAATATCAGAGATAGAGCGTGTGTAAATATAAAAGTGAACATAGAACTCAACACTTAGAGGCGACAGTCTGTTTCATGCTAGATGCAATCGTCAGGCCACGAGTGCAGTTATTTTTCTCAGTTATTTATATATATACAGGTCAGCGGTGCATTGTGGGTAGTCTATTTTGTAATTTTTCTGACGTCATGTTCCTTTTAGACGTCCTTGTTTCTTATTCAATCTGTCCATGACATCCATACCTCCTTTGTAGGACCACCTGTCTGCTGCTTCCATGGAATTCTCAATATGTTTCCGTAGAACCGAATTTCTGCTGCTTCTATTTTTCTCCTCATCCGTAAAGAGATTGTCCAACATTCATAGTAATCCAGCACTCCTTTGCCTCGTTTCTAACAAAATCTTTCTGTTTCTCAACACCTTTGTTCGCTTTTGAAATGCTTCTTTAAGTTTGGTAACTGCTCCGAGGAGCTGCTTTCGCTGGTTCCCAAACTTCATGAATTTAAGCGTTCTACTAGGCTGGCATCTCGCTCATACCCTTTCACTGTCGAAACTCCTAAATGTAGCCGTCTCTTCTACTTCAATAGCTTCATGTCTCGCACCTCTCGCCTGTGGAACTCCTTCCCTTCTTCCTGTTTTCCTGATAGCTATAATCTCCAACTATTCAAATGTAATGTCTCCAGATGCCCTGATCTATCCCCTATCCTTCTCTTCATCCTTTCCTCTATCACTCCTATTTGCTCTTGCTCCAACTCTCTGTAACCCCTTGCGTCCTAGTGGCTTCGTTGGGGTGAAATGCTGAAAAAAGAAGTCCAAAGCGTGTTCAGATCTCGATGTTGACACTTTCCAGATGTAGCTCGCATCTCGGGCCTTTTCTTGCTGATGTCCATACTTTATGTCTTCTTGTAGTCGATGGATAGTCCTTTCTTCTTGCTTTCTTCAACCACCCTGTCTAGAAGGTCCTTTAGTTTATCTTTCAGACAGTGTCGTCTGCATATCTTGTGTTTTTAAGATCATGCCCTCCGATAATAAATCCTACACCTTGTTGTCCTACACCTTGTTCTACGCTCCGGCCTTCTTCAGGTGGTTGGAATGTCGAATTGAACCCTTTATTTCGCTGGCTGGGGTAAACTGTTCTAGTTCCACTTGACATGTCTAATGGATGTCAGTTATCGGTTATCTCCTGTTAATTCCCCCTCTCCAAGTTTCCCTCCGCCTTAACCAGGTATTGAACTCTCACTCTTTGGGTCCTTTCACTGGATCTAACATCCACTGTGCAATGTGTTCTTGAGGACATCTGTGTATGAATTTCTGGGACTTATAAACTTATTATGTCTTCAGCAACCCTTTTTACCAGTGCTCATAATGCAATTTTTGTTGTTATCATTGCATGTAGTTTCTACCTGTATGTTGCACATGGAGTGTGGTAGATTTTTGTGTGTTTTAATGAGTCCTAATGAAAATATGGACGGGTGGGTTAAAAATTAAATAAAAAACACAATCGCAGTACACTGCAAGTCGTCTTTAATGAAACATGTATAAAAGAGGGATTGC